TTGTGTGTGTGGGGGTGTGTGACCGAGGCCCTGGCCCCCACCGTCAGGACTGGTTGCGGGAGCTACGGGGCGTGGCTGAGGCCCTTGGCCCTCCCCTCTTTCCGGCTTGGTAGCCCAGGGGACTTGCAGTGCTTCTAGGTGTTATGGGTATTCTTTGGTGAAATGAGACTTTTACTAGTTAGTATCAAACTCTGTCTCTGGTTGTGGGTACTTTATTTTTTGTTTCAGTTCTGTATTGGAGTATTTGCTGTTCCCACCACTTAAACTCTGCACTGGAACTAATTTTTTGTCCTTTGCTTACTTCCTTTGGGAACCAGCACTTGAGCTCTGTGGTTGAGCTGAATTGCTGCTTTGCTGCTGATTCCCTGGGGAAGGCTTTTTGTGCAGCTCAGGTTTCAATGGTTGTGTTTATAGGTACTTCTGGCTCTCGAGAGATCTGGTGCACCTGGGTTGTGTAGGAACTCTGGGCCAGTGCTTGAGGGCACGCCCGGAGACCCAAGGCATTGAGAAGGGGACTGGACCTCTCTCCCACAACCAGGCACACCAATCCAGTGCCTCGGGGCCTGCCCACAGCCCTGGGGCATGCAGAAGGGGTCCGGACACTCTACCACCACCAGGCACACCCCGCCAGCACCTTGGGGCCTGCCTGGGGACCCGCGGCAAGGAGAAGGGGACTGGACCTCTCTCCCACAACCAGGGGTACCGTGCCAGCACCTCAGGGCCCACCCAGCCCAGAGGCATGCAGAAGGGGACTAGACCCTCCTCCCACACCAGGCACAAAACACCAGCACCTCGGCGCCCACCAGGGTACCTGAGGCATGCAGAAGGGGACCGGACCTTCCTGCCATAACCAGGCACACTGCGCCAGTACCTTGGGGTCCACCCAGGGACCCAGGACATGGAGAAGGGGACTGGATCCCTCTCCCACAACCAGGCACATGGCGCCAGTGCCTTGGGACCTGCCCAGGAACCAGAGGCATGGAGAAGGGGACCAAACATACCCCATAACCAGGCACACCGCCAGTGCCAAGGAGCATGCCAAAAACAGCACCTCCATGTGGGTGGCCCACCATAGCCACCACAACAACCATGGCTGCTGCAAAAGCGGCTAGACGCCACAACCACCACACAGATGGTTGACCAGCCACTGGAGTGCATTGACACAAGGAGAGTCACCAGCAGAGACCAATGAAAAGAAGAGGACGTCTCTCTCCACAAAGCCCATTGCAGAGTGACAGAAGCAGCATCTGCTCTATGATAATATTGGGGGACCTGATCGTACCTCTCAGCATTGGACAGATCATCTAGGCAAATAAATCAACAGAGTAACCATTACTCTTTCAGGAGAGAAGAAATCTAGGGTCATTAGAGGGGGGAGGGGGAGGGAATGGGGGAGGGGGAGAGATTGGACAAGGGGCATAAAGAATAATCACGATTTGTAATAACATATATGCTAGTAATAACATATATGCTAGTAATAAAAACATATCAATTTCTACTCCAAAAATGTGTATAATCGATTTTGATTCAATAAAATTAAATTAAATTAAATTAAATTAAATTAAATTAAGAAAATAAAGTACCATGTTGCAGCTACGGCCGTCACCAGAGGATTTATACAGAGAAATGCTCAAAAATTGATCAAACATAATGGAATTCTAAAACAATGTTCTAGTGATGCCCAGGAATAGCCCCAAACTGGAAACAACCAAAGTGTCCTTCAGCAGGCGAGTGGTCACACACACTGCGGCACACCTGCACCACGACACTGCTCAGCAGCAGGAGTGTGCACTGCCGAAGCACACAGCGGGGGCTGTCCAGGGCCTCAAGAGGTCGTAACCGTATGAGTCTATTTGCACGTGTTCCTCGACATGACAGAAGTACAGAGACGGAGAGCAGATGAGAGGCGCCTGGCTTGAAGGACGTGGGGGCAGGCGGGACTTTATAAGGGGGGTTCACAAGGGGATCTTTGCTGCTGTGACACAGTTCTGCATCTTGACTTTGGTTCTGTAGATTCACACATGTGGAAAATGATCTGGAACTAGACACAAACACTGTGCCAACGTCAATTTACTGGTCTCAAGATTATACCACAATTACTTAAAATGCAACCATTGGGAGAACGGGATGAAGGGGGCCTGTCTGTGCTGTCTCTGCAACCTCCCGTGGATCTATGAACATTTGCAAAAAAAGGAAGAGAGAGAGAAAGAGAGACAGATCTGAGCACTGTGTGCTGTCCGACAGGACACAGCCCCATGGTACACCTGAATCCAGTCAAGACTCTAGCCCTAACTACCACTTCACAGGAAAACCAGGGAACAGAGAAACCACACAGACGCCATCGGCAAAATCCAAGACTGGGAAACTCTACCAGAGACAGAAGGAAACTTAAATGACATATAATCCCATCACATTCTACAGACTTTATTTGGATACTGATTAAAAAAAAAAGAATTATGAGGATTTAAATGAAATTCAAGTAATGGATTTGAAGACATTGAAAGGTTGTTATTAACTTTTACATGATAAGGATGCTGTAACTGTTTTTAATAATCCTTAAATTTGGAGATAATACTGCAATATTTTCTATAAATTGCTATGACAGCTGGTAGTAGGTTCCAAATAATTTAGGAATGAAGAGGGGGAAGGCGAGTGGGGGGTATAAGTGAATCAGGCTGCCTCCCCACTCTGGGCCCGTCCTCAGGCTCCCGAGAAAGGAGATGGCTGGACACCGTAGGTCCTGCAGCTCCTGGCCCCGTGCCTGCAGGCCAGAGAGGGCCTCCCCGCTTGAAGCCTTACTCAGGAAGCCACCCTGCTGGGCAGCTAGTCCCCCCCAGAAGTCACCTGAGAAGGTGAGGCCTCTGGTTCTTGGCCAACCCCTCCCCCAGGCCAAGGGCCCAGAATCCACCCAGGACACCTGCTTGGCCCCACAGGTGAAAATGGATTCTGGTCCGTGAGGGCCCATGGCCAGCCTACAGAGGATACTTTCATCAACTAACGTATTTGTACCATTTTGTACACAAGCACTGAGGGGCAGCCAGCCCCT